TTCATAACTACCTCTGGGTAACATATCCACCCACATAGAATCAGTTCTTAAAGAGTAGAATATGATAATAAACCTACACCCCCGCCTGATAAGTTGTGTAACAGGGTTTGCTAAAACCATCTTCATGGTTGTGCTAAATAAGAGGTAAATACAATCCCATGAAGCAGGGAACAACAGTCGTGATTAATTACTATAGTGATGCACCATCTTGGGGACATAACGACAGAGCCAGATATACGAAAAAGGTCCTCAGAAAAAAAAACTCCTTCGGCTGGAAATTAACTACAATGTTATCTGGGAAGGGAGTCATTGAGATCAATATTTATCATGAGAGATGCTCAAGGAGTAAACAGTTTCAGGGTACAATAATCACATCGCTGGAATCCTTTTGTCTTGATTTCCTAACACCAATTCATAGATTTGGCTCGCAGACTACGGGTTCAAGTTTATTATGCCCTTCTTCGCTTCATAAATTAGTCAAAAAAAAGAGGAGGGAAGGGGGGAGAAGAATCTGAAGATTATTTTATATAAAGTGCGTTAGTGATCTGTAGCGGGTACTAAATACCTTCTTCGCCTTAAAGAGCATAATACTCCATTCTGAGTTCAGCAACAGTATGTACTCGTCCATGTAGAATTAAATCTTTTTTCCTTTTTTGGAGGGGATATACTTTAGACAAATACACTTTGCGATAAGGGGATAGGAATCTTTTTTTTTTTTTAATACATTTCAATGGTGTTTAAATATATCTTCATATTACTCTCCCTCTTTCTCTCCCTCTCACTCTTTCTTTCTTTTTCTCTCTATGTTATAATGAGTCAAAACCAAGTGCAACCATCTATCATAATCCCTTAATTGTCGCATACCAAGGAGCGGGGATAATCAATTAATCGGGAGATAAAGAGGTTTCTTAAAATTGTATTTAAGTTTATCCGCTTCTATTTGAGCAAGCTCCTCCTCGATATTTCGCCGTCGCATTTTGATAGCGTTGGTGTCAAAGCGAATGGGAATTTTACTCAGCTGCATCTCCAGCTCCTTCTGCCGTGCCGCCAGATTGTCCATGGTCTCCAGCTTCTCCTGTTCAGAAACGAGGCGGCAGCCCGGCGGGATCTTCGCCAGCTCACGTTGTCGCTGGGCTTCGTCTTCTATAGACTGCTTCTCCGCCAGGAGTTCGGCCTTGCGCTTTTGGAGGTACTTCGGGACCTGGCCGGGGGTGAAACTCGGGGAAGGCGCCCGCGCCGCGGGGACCTCCTCGCGGGCTGGGGCCACGGGGACGGGGCGCCCCGGCGTTGCCTCCACCTGGCTGGTTAGGGACTTGCCCTCGCGATAAGTGAAGGCCTGCGCGGCCTCGCCATCACACTCGCGTAGGTAGACCCGTATCTGGACGTCGCCCTTGGCCTTCTCGACCGAGGGGGCCTCGGTGGGGGGAGCGAAGACCTGCGCCTTGATGTGACGGTACTGGGCCTTGGTGCGGGCCACCGCCCCCGCGTGTTGCCGCTTATCGGCCTCCTCCTGCACCTTGCGCTGCCGGTTGAGCTCCTGCTGCTCGCGAATTTGTAACCGATTTAAGCTATCCGCATTATAGGGCATCCCACCGCACGCGAGAATCAAGGGTGTGGAACTTTGGGTTGTCTGGAGAAGCACAATAGTAATAATAAAACCTTTGACGGGAAGGAAACCGAACGAAGGAGAACAGAATTCGGGTCTTGGGGAGAATGAAAAAGCACCGGAAGAATAGTGAAATAAAGAGGAACGTTAATAATTAAGACAAAGGGCAAACAATCAAAGGAATAAGATGGATTCGCGACAAGGCGCTTCGATTTCGTTGGCGCTTTAAAAATATTCGCAGTTGCAACATAAGGGAAGACATGAAGAAACTATGGTCAGTGGATTGAATCTTAACGACATCTACCCGTGATCTATATTCAAAACTTGGATCATTAGCAAAGTAATAACAACACCAAACAAACGTAGTAAATCACAACATATTCTTTAGTAAACGTAAAAGCCATCAGATTCTATGAGCTACGTTGGTAGGTGATCTAAAGATTGTTTTATTGGTCAACTCTAAAGCAATAAACACTAGAAAAGTTATTAAAAAAACTGGTTCAAGTCTGTGCTGATAGCCTGACACAGGACACACCTAATTACTTTAGAGCACATTACTGTCAAGGTACCTTTATCCATATAGGCTATTCAAGTAAAAGCTTATCAGTTTTTGCGAGAGTGACCTTCTCCTGTCATTATACCTAGGTTTTGTGTTAGGAAGGGTTGTTTAATTTGGGGGTGTAATAGTAGTAAATCCACGGAGATGTATTACGCACTTCGCCAGTTGAATCGTAGTTTCGCAGGTAAAACTTGAGTGGCTTACCATTGGGAAGTAAACACACCTCTGTGTCGATCTTCCGCTCCATCACGACATCGGATGGGTCTAGCTTCTTCTTTTGGCGCCCGAGAGTACAACCCTCCGCTTGAAAAGCCTGAAATCCCCATTTACGATAAAACGCCATCACCGTGCGGTTTATTGGGGTCAAGGAGGCAGATGTGCCCTGCCGTACCCGCAGCCACTCCAGGGCGAGGAAAAGCAAAAAGGAGCCGAGTCCCTTCCGCCGGTACTTCGCGTCGCAGGCGATGAAGGAGAGCCACCCCTGGCCCTGCATCGCGGCCAGCCCGACCAGGGCCTCGTCAGCCGCGCGCACGGCGACGATGCGACAGGACGCCTCCAGCGCCGCGCGCTGCAGCTCCATCCCCGCGATGTGCCCCGCGCAGGAGGCCAGCAGCAGCCGCGACCACTCCTTGCGGTCCTCCGGGACGGCCATGCGGAAGTAGACCTCTTTCGAGGTGTACGCAGGGGGGTGCTCGGGCAGGTAATACTGGAAGTACTTGTGAATCGCGTCGACATGGCGGCCTTTGGACTCCTTGGTGGTGAGGGAGGCGTTGACGTGGCAGGTTGTTGGCGCGGCGGCCCGTGTTTGAAAATTCTTGGCAAGATAGGCTATGGGTTTTTCCGCATCCTCTTTGTCCTTTTCCCTTTTTAGGTGTGGTAAATTGAAAGCGTCACGAGGCTTTGGAACGCGTATTGAGGGTACTCGTTTCCGCTTTGGTTTAGACTTTCCGCCATTATGAAGCCATAGTCTGTGCACAGCCTCTCTATAAGGTAAAATACTCTGATCGGATACATCGCCCCCAGCCGCACCGTTATTAATGCAATCTAATGAAGCACCCTCGTTTGGCTCATTGGGAATTAACGTGCGCGCCCCATCGGAAACCGCCAACTCATTCTTCAAGTTGGTCATATATTGTACACTTTGCCGTCTAGTCAACTTGGGGTTGATGCTTACCAGAGGACAGGTTGGTGAAAGGAAAAGGAAGGCTTGATTGTATTCACATCAAAATGGAAAAAGTGATTAGCAGGAAAAGGATTGATGAAATACAAAAAGTCAAACTAATCAAGTATCCAGTATCCGTGCCACGAAGCTCCAGTCTAACGAAGAACTATAAGACATACACATCCGACTCCTTTGCCTTTTGTAGGCGACAAAATCCTAAAAGAAATAAAACACACACAGAAAGGATAGTTTTGTTATCCGGGAATAAGTGGATCATCCGCATTAGACGGCCAACCCAGCCTTGAAAACATTTTTTCCATATGCAGAGGAAGTGGTGCCGTAACGCAGATAAATTCTCCTGATCCATTTTTGTACGGTAGTTGAATTTTCCTGTGATGGAGATGAAGTGGAATGCCCTTATCCTTTGAATCGCCAAAAAGCGAAAGAAACTGAGGAAAGGAGCTTTCACCGCCGTATTTGGCATCGCCTAATAACGGACATCGCAGAGCATGGGCCGCCATTATCCGCTCCTGATGTCGACGACTCGTAAGAGAATAAAAAGATATAAAACTCGCAAACTCCAGCGCGCTCGCGTTTACTACAAACTCTGCGATTCCGACCTTTGATTCTTTCGTAGGAGAAGGACGCACGATAATGATATTCCCATGATTCCCTTTATTTAGTTCAAAATGCATACGAATACGGCCGTAGTTCACGGTAGGTTTTCCAGCGCATAACCCCCAATAGACGCTATTCGGGACGACTCGTTTAACAAACATACGGCCTAGCATCCGATGCGCACTTCTAGTTCGCGCGAGCACCACACATCCGCTCGTTTCTCTATCCAGGTTATGACAAACAATCGGTTTTGACGTATTCGTATATTTCCATGCCGGAAGAAGGTCGGTGATGTTCATGTCCAATGGGTTCGTTGTGGGCATCATCGGTACCCCAGCAGGTTTGTTAATCACGACGACATATTCGTTCTTAAATAGCACCATCTCAAGAGCTTTTTCCTTAGCGTGAGCAGTTAAACGAAAACTAGATTTTAACTGAGGCTTTGCTGGATCAACTTCTACTCCGCTAGGAGGAGCTAGTTCCCTTTGCCAAAAGGCGTGGGTTGGCACTACCAAAAGCTCGTCAAACTCAAGACGATCGGTGAGACGCGTGAAGCGCTTCTTCCCGTTCTTACGATACCGATAAATATGTCCACCTTCTACAAGACGTTTGACGGTTTCATAACTCCACTCCGCGTGATGCTGCGTGATAAAGTCATCTACGCGCTGTCCAAACCAATCTTGAGTTACCACATGATATTGATAATCATTCGACCGATTCGCCAGCGCATCACGAGCTTTTAAAGACAATGGAAGGTGAAGCCTTTTTGTCTCCTCAACAGGTTTCATGTGAGGTGTAGAAATAACATCTGGTAAGTGGTTTACAAAAGATGGTCGCCACTTGGTAAGAAAAAGCCTTGTATAATGCATAGCGTTGGTCAAAATAAAAAAAGTAAAAGGTTTTAGTCTTATGTAAGCCCCTTTATTAAGTGTCTAATAATATGAAGCAAGTCAAAATTAAAACATCTCTCCTTATATACTCAAAGCTCAAAATCAAACTGTTACTATCACTTTATTTTTAAAATGCTCAGTAGGAATTGCATCAATTCATCTAAAATAGCACATGCTATATCGCATACGGCTCTTCACAAAATTGTAAGCCAAAACTTCAAGAAATATTAAGTTGATTATAACTGAATGATAAATAGTTATTAGCATAAAAAACTTTAATGGGATTTAATATAAATTTTGATGAGCATAGAACTGACAAAAGGCTATGCAACTCTGATTTTTCGATTCTTGATCATTTTATTGATCACCTACGTAGTGATCTAGAGATTCCTTCGCTTGCGAGGTAACACAAAGTGCTATGCGGATAAAAAGACCATATATCTCGACCGTAGCAAGTTAAAGGGTTTATTTTATAGTTATAGTATACAATATTATATATATTTCTTCAATATCGATGCGTCTTCAGAAACCCCTTCTACATATACTATAATCTATGTAGTAACATCCATTATGTCACAATGTGGGTAACTGTTAGTATCTATGGAAGCATTTAAAAGTTCTACTGAATATTCAACAAAGTGAATTTCCCTTAGACACGTATTGTGAATAGAAATTGATATTCAATAATCTTTGTCCCGATATCATCTGAAAATGGCTACGCTCCTTGTATAGATCCCATTTTCTCTATCATCCTTTCAATTAGATTATGGAATTATTTACAGCACCTATACAAAACAATTCCTTTGAAAATACTGAATGGGGAGAAAAAATAGAATTATACAAAGATTCAATATACAAAGACTCCATGCATATCATATAACATTACTAAATTTAATCTACTAAACAAAAAATGATAACGATTTTTTAGTTATAAATATCTGTGTATATGATTGTGCATGCGTAATAATTGAATTTTAAATAAGCTTTCGATAGAAGTAATCCTTGAAAAAAAGGAAAACATCAAATAATTATAAATTCTGCACCTGTTTCCAATGCTACAGATAGTATGTACGCCTGTAATGTAAATCGTTAAGCACCATTACCAACATTTTTCTTCTCCTCGGATATTGCCTGTTTATGGCGCATGCGTTCAGCATCTACATCCTTTCGTTTTGCAGCACTTACACCATCGTTGCGCTTTCCTTTATTATCTTCCTGTCTTTTCTTATTTCCCTTTTCCCGAGCAAGATCTCGTTGATTACCTCGTGCCATTTGACCTCTCTTAGTGTCAGTAAAGAATAAGTTTAAGAAATATTAATAAGAATATCGTAACCTAGGAGAAAATTTTCAGGTTAATGGAAGAAAAGGCCTAATTAAATGATCAAAAAGTATAAGTGAACCATGTCTTTTCTGAGATATACACCTTACCCATCAAGAACAAATGCTGATCAGTAATACTCAACGTTAAAGTATGTTTATCACAGAAAGATTAGTTATATATGAAAAGTTGTATAAAATATCACAAGGGGACTCTAAGCATTGCCCTTGAGAAAATTAGCCAGTGAGGGTACTAGATTTTTCCGCGAAGTAGAAGTATCGCTTAAAGAAAAACCAACTAATACATGACTTCCTTCTATCTGAAACTTATCTGTTGGGTAAAAGACTAGACTGGTTTTTAATGAGGTTGTATAGTCAATAAAGATTTGAAGATCAGCCGTTCTCACAATAAACACGATATCCCTTGTGTAAACCTCAGTCTTTTTACCGGCAAAAACAACAATAAAAGCATCAAGTTTAGATTCAGATAAGAAAATATAGCTAGACGAAGCTATTTTTTCTAAAGAGTATTTATCCTTGAACTCGTCGTATGAGCATGGGATACTGCTAATACCAGTATTCAGACAACCTCCCCTTTCACCTATTTCGAAAGAAAAAAATTTATGATCGCGTCTAAAATTTTGTTCTAGTGATAGCCCAAAAATATCTTTCTTCCATTTTGATAACCTTTCATATAATTCATCTGAGTCTACACTTTCAGGTATCAGTGAAGAAAGCCATTCAAACATTTCCCGATCTTTGGGTGTTGCTTTTTGCTGTTGTGGGTCAAAGTTAAGTGTGTCCAAAACTATAGATGATAGAAGTAAAATAGGACATGGAACTGTGACATCAACCTTTTTGTAAAGTTCGGCAACTAATGAACAAGCAGAGCCTACCGTTTCAATGACTCGTAGCCTATTCCTTTGATTAACGTATAACTTGTCATCGAAGTGGTGGTCAACAATACCGACTACATTGTTGCTGAGAAAGCTTTGGGAAACAGAAAGCTTATTGTGGTCATAAAGTACAACATTCGGTAGTATATCAGAAAGATCCAAATAGTTTCCCTCATGATTTAACAAAGTAGTGCTTTGAATAACAGAAATCAGTAATGACGTATCAATTCCAATCTTCTTAAATAAATGATAAACATCCATACGTAAAGGTAGCTCATCCAATGGAAAGTTGATCGCTGGAACTGCGGGTGCCATTCCATACTCTCTCCATGAATTTAGGAACATTGCAAGAAAAATAGAGCCTACAACACTGTCCATATCGCCAGCTTCGTTTCCCAAAACAACTGTCAATTCCCTACATTTAGAAGTCACTTTTTGTAGACTTTTAGAAAGATATGCATTAATGAATGACGCCATCACCTACTTGATGAAATAATGTTGATAACTGATTTGGAAAAATAAATGAAATAGACAAGATTGAAATTTATAACGTTCCTTATCATTAAGAGTAGATAAATATGGTAGTAATATTTATGATACTCATGCGTGACTAGCAAAGAAATGTAAATAATGAAAAAAAATATCAAAGTAGCTTTACAATATTAATGTGTCAAACAATATTTTTTGAAAGCGTTGGATAAGCCTAGTTTATTGATAATCCGACGAAAGCGTAAAATCATTGTGAAACAAACAATATCACTCATAAAAAAATTATTATTATATATTATCAATTTATAATAGACAACAAAGCGACCTGTTACCGAAAAATTTGTCAACGTGCCTACCGGGCAGTAAATAAATTACGTAATTTACAAAATCGATCCGCCATCATTAACAAAAAAAAAACGTAGTTATAATTTTTTTCAGAAACGCAATGGATAGAATAATTGCTATATTTAAATAATAGCGTTACGGTAAAAGACAGGGGATGCAAAGGGGTTATGCTTCAGTATCCAACACGATTTAGTCATTATTGAAAAGCGCAAATTTGATAACCGATAAAATTAAAAAAAGCAAAAACTATAAAAACATATTTCTATGCTATAAAACAAGAACTTTTACATTTAAAAATGCTGAAAAAAATAAAGGCATGTAAATAGAAAATGGTAAAAAAAAAGCAGTTTCGCCGCCCACCTATTATACTTTCTATGGTTAGGCGCGCTTTCCACCAAGCGGCGCCGCCACCCCGATTGGGGAAAAATTTTAGTTACCTCAATCCACCCCCTTTAGTCATCAAACGGAGGGTTTGTCTTTGTAATACCATAAAATTCATATGTGTAATTTTTATGTCTAGACTTATTTGGTCTTGTTTTTGAAAAATAGAGTAAATGAAAAAAAATGGAGGGAATGTCCCCATAATGGCGATGTACGATGTTATTGTATGAGGGGTGCGTTTGCAAAGGGCAGCGTAGCGTAAAGTAAATTTGATGAACCGCTAAGCAATCCATATATTAAAAGCTGACTTCTAAATTCAACGTTTATAAGATACATAATTTTATTTTACCGTACCTTTTCTCCATTTAGGTTGCATATAATAGTAGACTTGAGCTTATCACTTTTTTCGAAAAAATTATCGGATGGAAGTGAAAAATTAATTTATTTCTATGCAGATGTGATCCTTTAGATAATATAGCTTTCTCATGATTTTAGTCTTTTGTTTCTTCTAAAAAAGGTTGTTAGATTAAATTTACTTAGTAGAATTCACGAAACTCTCTAAAATATATTTAATATAATTTATTATGTATTCCTTTTCTGGTTCAGGTAGGCCATTTTCATTTGGTACTGTCAGCCATCAACTTACTCAAACTACCACCGATTGTGTTAGTAAAGTTCGATTCTCACCGGTTGGTTTTCCAGCATTCCTTCTTGGGGTAACTTCATGGGATTCCAGCTGTTCAATTTGGCAAGTACAATCAAATCAAAATGAAATACAGGCGGTTCCATCATTTACAACCACTCTTGACGCTCCTATTCTTGATCTTAGCTTTTCATACGATGGGAAGGCATTTTTGGGTGGCTGCAGCAAGACTGCTGTGATGTGGAATTTGTCAACAAACCAAAAATCGACTGTTGCATCTCATGACCTGCCTATAAGCTGCTTGGCTTACATCAATCACCCTCAGGTCAATGATCTTCTTATAACTGGTAGTTGGGATGGTAAACTACGCTGTTGGGATCTTCGCCAGCAAAACTATATTATGGAGGAAAACTTGGGTGAACCGATCTTTGCCTTGGATGTACAACGATCAAAGCCAATGATGGCTGTAGCTACAGGACGATCGGTTCATATTTTTCATACAGACTCCATGCGTAAAGAAGACACCCTAAAGCCACCCGATGTCGTAAAATTTAATATTCGATGTGTTTCATGTTCTACCAACTTTGAGGGAGTAGCAATGGGTACTTCTGAAGGTAGGTTATCTTTTTTGCGAATGGACAAAAAGCCTGGTTGCACTTTTAAGGCACATATTCAAGGTGCCGACGTAACACAGTATGTAATGTACCAGACAAATTTTTGTGTTCACCATCCTTCATCTCCATTAGTTATATCGGGTGGTGGTGATGGTGTTTTGGCAGCCGTAAACAGATCTACAAAAAAACTGCTCAGGAGTATGCAACCTGAACTAAAAATTGACAACGACCCAATTCCAATATCTTCTGGTGATATAAGCCCCGATGGATCACTTATTGCGTATGCTCATAGCTATGATTGGGCTATGGGAAAAGCTGGGTATAGAAACCAACCAACATCAGTCCATATCCGAAAGATCGAAGGTGATGTAAAATGAAGTTAATAGATCGTATTCCTTTGCGTATATTCTTGGCCTTATTTCGCCTTGTACTACGCATAATTAGAAATTAATATATATTTTTATATATGGTAGTCATGAACTATTAAATGAGTATACTATCTATCAACACAGAATGAAAATAAATTTAAACAATGTGGAAATGATTTCAAACTTTTTTATTTTTATTTTATTTTTACTCAATAAAATAGAATAGATTTTTTTTTCAAGTGATACTCAAATGACAGAAGAGATTGAATTTGGGTATGCGCTCAAAAGCAAACAAGTCCGTCACTATGAGATTAATGATCTTGATAGCGTCAAAAGAGCACTAACTGCAAATGCGCAAGAGTATCTTGTATATGAAGGTGTAGAAGAGAAATCTCCAGTATCAGTTTCTGGTTCCATTTTCCGAGTTTTTATTTCCTCCCTTGGTATCTTCATATTCATAGCCGGTAAAAAAATTTTGGCGCAAAGGCTTTTATCCTATATATCCTTTATAGGATTCTTTGGTTTGATACTTGGTATGATTGTGAATAATTGTATTCACGATTCGTATTCTGTATTTTTTGTAGGTTCCGGTAAAGTTGGAAGTACGCCAAATAAAAAATTTGCCGCTCTAAATCATCATAAACTCCGTTTTCATTTGTTCATTTACCCTTATTCACCCCTAGTCAAATTTATTGCTGAAATTACTGACTCGGGACGCCTCTTTCGCCCTTATAAATCATTAGTTTCAGTCGAAAAAAATGTATACTATGGTAAATATTTTGGCTCTAACGGATATTTTTACCCACCGGCTCTTACAAGCGATGTTGATGATATAATTGAGGAATTAATTCAGAAGATTCCTAATCAGTAATAAAAAAAAATCAAGAAAATTATAGGAATCTTACTTATTAAATATTAAACCGTAAAAATCTGTGTATCAAATTTCAAATCTTCGGCATATTTTTTATATATTATAAATCATTTATTCTTTTTTCTTCTTTACAGATAAAATTCATAATAGGATTAAAAAAGATACTTAAGTTTCATAAAAATGGTCTCACCCAAAACTGTGCGTTATATAGGTTATTGTGGTGCAACCGCAAACTGGTTTATTCCAATTGCCGGTATTATGAATTTTGCATCGCGCCCTATAAATGATATTGATCCGAAAATGACAACTATACTTTGCACATATAGTATGTTATTCTTGCGTTGGTCAATCGCCATTTCACCAGCAAACTATCCTCTTTTTTTTTGCCACTTAACAAACAGTACAGTTCAAGCCTCTACCTTACTCCGATTAGGTTATCATAAGGTAACTAAACGGTGTAAACATGTTTAATTAATTAATTGCATATACAGTATAGTATTTCATTAAAGATTTGGCTATGAGTTAAGGCTTCATTTTCAAGTATCACAAATGGTTTTTTTTTTACATGTCTAGGCATAATTTCATAACTTTTATTTATGTTGAAATTCTTGGCTTTCTCGAATTAGTAAAGGATTGATGTTATGCTTTTTTATAGAATTAATTTGATTCGAAAAGTTGTATTGCAGAGTCCATAATTTTTTTATTGTCTCTGCTTAAAGTGTGAAAGAAGAAGCTCAGATAATCGCGACTTTAAGGAAGCTTGTTGTCCAATTCAATAGGTTAGGAACAATTTTTTATTTTATTTATTGACATCAATCCAATAAAAATGTTTGGGTTCTCTGGCAGTTACTTTGAAATTAATCACCAGTTATATTAATAGAAAAGTAATTTATTAAAATTATTATTATTGACTCTATGATGTATCTAGTTTTGCATATGCTTTCAGATAATACGGTAACATACACTTAAAAAAAATTACTTCTATTATTTTTCTCATTTACATAATTATACATATTACTGTTTAGTCAAAAGACAGGTACGCAATCCAATTTAATGAGCCTTGATCCTTCTTTTTTATCGGGTAAACGACGTTATAAGGTCCTTCTTCGCGAAAATAAAAATCCTTTAGGAAGTTTGGATCCTTTGGTTTTAACAGAATTGGAAGCCCTTGAAGAAAAATTTCCTGAGCTTAGACAATTAAAAGGCGCAGCTATAAAACAAGATGTAGTACCATCTTTATCTACTGGAAGGGATAAAGTACCTCTGCAACAAGACTATGTGGAATACTTAGATATAAATGAAAGAGGCAATACCGCAAACTTTCGTAATTCTGCACCTCGAATTGGCAACAACTCTGAATCGCCTACTTTATCTAAAAAAAACGAGGAAAGTAGTTCAAAGTTAAACGAAAAAAATCATTTGGAACGATGCTTTGCATTAGCCACTTTTGCTTTGAATTTATATAGTGGATTTTACAACAGATCTGCGTTCGGTCCACTAAACTACGCAAAAGCACTGATTTTTTCTATAGCTATTGCTTTGTTTCATGTATTCGTTTTGGATCCCTGCTCACCATTAGGCATGCATATTATGCCATCCTTATTCTGCATCATGATCAATCTAAGCAACCTCTACTCACTCTATGTTCGCCAAAGGGGTCGGGTGTCTATCCCAATGCTATTAGTTTACACCTGTCTTGATTTTGTTCCTTCTTTGATCTCAATTTTCGTTTTTTACTTATTGACAATCGCCTCTTTGAATAAAGTACTCGGTTCAAACCTTGACTTCGTGTGTATTACTTCATTGCAAGAGATCAAATAAGTTCTTAGGAATATAGAGTGGAGTCTTTGCAATTGTAAAAAAAAATATCATACTAAATTTAGCGTTAATGATGAACAAAATGAAGAAAAAAAAGTTTATACAGTCTATGTTAGAAATTTTATGTCCTTATTTGTTTATGTATTTTAGCACCGTTGTTAAACTAAAAGAAAAAGTAAATTTACTGCCTTTGACAATCTTTTCAAAGGGGTTCTGAGAATATATATGGATATAGATTTATATATAAATAAAAAATGTCTGAACTTGAGAGGATACTGGCCCAACCAATTGTTGACATAAAAGAACCTATTGATGTTTCGACTGAAAATGTTGCCGAGGTTATTGCCAATCTGCACGTTATTCTCCGGAAGTCTTTGTACTGCGTTCGTCAGGAATTGCCTACTCCGCTAGGAATATTTCTCTTTTTTCTAAGTCAAGCTGCTTTTATCGCATCTGAACAACTATGCAGTGCGATACCGCAGGCCACAGAAGAAGGCTCCTGCATGGACATATTTGTGAATATATTTAAGCAGTTGCTCTCCCAAGAGAGCGCTTCTTTGCGTTTGAAGTTCGACGTAGAGGTCCTTTTTGAAGTAGTGCAGGCCTTATGCAGCGATTCCAAACTCAAAAGCAAGTTAGGGGAGAGTATAGGAGAGACTTTACTAAACTTTATGATGGATACCGCTCAACACACGGATGATTACCGAGTTCATCGTGGCTGCGCGAGTGCGCTTATTACGCTTTTGCGGGGCTCTCCCTTAAACAAAAACCGTTTTAAGACGGAATGCGAAAAACTGGCGGCATCCCTAGAGCGCTCTTCAGATTTCTTTTTCCAAATGCAATGCACCGAAATCATTTTCCGTTTATACGTTCATGATAACACCGTGCTCGGTGTAGAGGGGCAAATGAACGATTACCTACGACGTGGAATCGCTTCCCTGCGCAATGACGCCACCCTACTTCTTAACATACAGAACTTTCTCGACAGCTACAACGCGGAGTTTCACCCCCTGCATATTCTGCCCTTCACAATTGTTCGGATGGAGGTTGGCGGGACCGAGATTTGCAGCCACACGACGATCTACTTCTCGCCGCTGCTGGTAGTAGTGATGCTGCCCGGGGGAGGGGACGGCTTCACCATCCCCTTCGAGCACATCCGCTCCGTCAAGCTGTCGAAGGACCACAAACTGTGCCTCCGCCTGAACACCATCCCTCTGCGGTTGGGGCCCTGGACGGGGGGGCCGGGGCCCGCGGACACCCTCCACGTCCTGCTCACCCGCGACGCCCTGGCACGGCTGCGCGCG